TTATTTTTCTAATGATATATAGCGAATTCCATGGCAGCAAGCGTCCTGTACAGACGACCACTTTCGCAAATGATCTGTATTTCTAAAATCATAAATAAAAATCAATATTACTATTTTAAATATTATCTTCTGGGACAGCAAGTCTTTAGCTTGACTGAGATCATTATTTATGTATTGCAGCGACCAATAAAGTATTTAATTTCACTGCGAAACTAAAATAAATTATGCAATATAAGTTACACTTTCAATTCTAGATATAATAAAAGCGAAACTACTTTTCAGGAATACAAAAATTATTGATTTCTAAAATATTAGCGATAAATCAAGTGTTCAAAAGACGATCCGACGTTGTAATGGTACAGCTTCCCTCGGCTGCGTTTCTTCGGTTCTGCGTTTCTTCTGTTTTCACAGAAGAAACTATCGCACTCTATGAAACCTCGCACTCTATGAAAAATCTTCATAATTCCGAAGTGACCTCCTGTCGGATTACTATGCAGTACCTTAATTGAATTGTCTGAAGAAACCTCTGGACGAGCGTCACTTCATGTGCTGACTTCTTGAATGACCATTTCTGGTTGGTAAGTTGTCTCTTTGCTTGCTGGACTGCCTTGATTTTTCATGAAGCTAAGGCGCCTTTAGATCCTTGATACCTGACATTTGGAGTGCTTTCTATATCTCAAGATCATGGACCTCCCCGATAAAGTCTTACAGGGGGAATGATTTTCCTTATTTCTGTTATGTAGTTCGAAAAAGTGAAATGTGTGAGCTTTCAGCGTTAGTGGAGAGTTTCAGGAGTGTTTCCGTGAATTTCTATTGGCGAGATTGCAACTCAAGCCCGTCATATTTTTTTAAACACTTTTTGCCAATGTACTGATCCAACCCCCCGCATAAAGCTTCAAAGCCTCGCCTCTGGTTTTCAGGAAGAATTTGAAGGAACTGTTTCGGCTGCCTTCAAAGAAACAGCGAGATGGCAGGTCTTAGTTTCGAATCCCATCTACTTAATTTTATGCAATAAAGGCCTGAGTCTTGCACATTTGCCAGGAGGTCCTTCCAACATACGTGGATAGCTTTACAGAGGGTCCATATATATGAATATGTATAAATTTAAGCATTAGAATTGTGTCCAGCTGTCGATATGAATTTCCTCAAGCTGTTAACTTCCACAAAAGCATCAGCATTAACACTGTCATCGGTTTGTTGTTCGAGAGCAGAAACTCTTCCTTCAATTTCACCAACTTTATTTTCAATTTGTCTACTTTCCATAGCAAAGAACTTGCTTTCTGTTATTGCAGTAATTTATCTTTTCATTTGGTCTTGATTTGATTCAGTACTTTATTGTACAATCTTCAGCTCTTTTTTAAAGGATTCTTTGTCAGTTTCCATCTTTTCATGAACAACTTTCATACCTGCTTTAACCGTTTCTTGACCTACTTTTATCTTTTCCTTAAATGCAAGTGGTGACAGGTGAGAGTGGGTTGGGACACCCAGGCGGTTTACTAGGACTATTCGGGTATCGTCCGAAATCCGCAACTGCAACATGAAAACTCATTAATGGCCAAGACGCGCGGCCTCAGGAACTTTTAATAGAAACATTTGATGATACTGTATAATGAAATGTGAGCAGTTTAAACTTATATTTAAATATTTTACACAATACAATAATTGTGTACTGATTCACACACTGTAACTTTTACATAAATATTATGGACTAATAATTAAGGGGGCTCATACACCTTAAACCCCTTATGATCTTCGAATATGTGACAGTTGAAAGAATTGGGATATTTTATTTATTTTAAAAGCAATTACTTCCAACTTTTTACAGCTGACTACATAATATAGCTGCTTTAGAAACTAGTAACCAGATAGTTTGTGTTGCCACAAATATTTTTGTAATTTAATCCACTTTGTAACAAAATATTCCGTCATGTTTCCACCTTGCGCGCATGATATTTTAAAAATGGCTAATAGTACGTACTTGAAATTTCATGGAATTCTTTATATGGGCACTATTTTCTAAGTGAACCAAAAATTTGATGAATATTTTAGTATTAAAAAAATTATGCACGAAAACATTACAGATTTTTTAATAAAATACATTTTATAAACTCAACTCCAAATAAAACACAAATTTAACATGAAATTCTTAGAATTTTAGGTTTACAGTAGTTTTCAAATGTTATAAAAGCTATATATTAAACATGGAATTAAATTATACAACAGAATGTTTTAAACTGTGCGCGCAAGGTGGAAACTTGACGAAAAATGTTGTCACAAAGCGGATTAAATTATAAAATATTTGTGGCAACACAAACTTTCTGATTACTATTTCAGATAGCAGCTATATTATGTAGTCAGCTGAAAAAAGTTGGAAGTAATATCTTTTAAAATAAATAAGTTATCCCAATTCTTGCAACAGTCACATTTTCGAAGATCTTATGAATTTTAAGGTGTATGAATCCCCTTAAACATTACCGTGGTGCATTTATGTACACCTAGGTTTAGACACTGGGAATATATTGTTACAATAATGTTTGTGTTACACATGCGTACGTTATTGCTGGTACATAAACATTTCACACCATACATATATATATGTGTCATAATAAGAGCAAAGGAAAAAATACGGAACACTGTAGATGCGTGCTTAGATCCATATTGAAGAAGAATTTTGATTGCGTAGTATTTAAAGAACTTGGCAGTCGAGGCAGTTTCAATTCCATTTTTATTTCCAATTGATATTTGTGGCCACAATCGCTTGGCACTCTAGTCGTGCCTTTCCACAGAAGATTTGCATTTTTGATGTTGTTGGGATAGAAAGCAAGCCAGCGAAATTACATCTTAGTACAGTAGAGAGCAAGAGGTGAAGTGCGTCGTTATGAAAGATGGAAGCACGCGAAGAGAAAAGTTTTGGTTTACAATTCGGTGATTGGTTGTCAAGAGGCATCTGGTATTAACGGTTACGTAAGATCGCATAATTAATTTGAATGACGCAATGCAGACAAGTTATTACGATTTTAGAATAGAGAGGAAGAATTAATATTTATAATTATATTATAATTCTGATTCATACATTTTTATCTTACATATATATATACATACATATATGTATATAACACATAAGTTACCATTTTACATATATAATTACTGTGGACACGGCAGTTATTTCGGAGTGTTCACATACAGGGTTTTTAAATGCTGCAAATGCTTCAGCAGTTTTCTTAGTTGCTTCACCAACACTCTTATTACCGGGACTCAATTCAACTTCTGACAATAAAAAATTTTGCGCGCATACGGGTTCGTAATGAATTGAATGCAAACAGAACCGAGGATATTTTGATAAAATTTATTTTCCAAAAGAAACACTTAGCAGTTCTAGAACTTTCTATAAAACTACTCGCACAGTTGTTCTCAGTATTACACTAAAGAATCAGTAGTTACCACTCCAAACTACTAAGATTGTTAAACACAAGCAGTGCAAAGCGCATATAAAGAGCGAAGCTTGCATACAGATTTATGACTTCTCCGAATTCAACTCTGAACTGAAAAATTGGGAACCGATGCTCCTTCTAGCCTTATATACTGTTTCCCTAGCTGCCAATAATCTTCCAGTACCTTCAGCTTTTTTTAAATTTACGGAAGTTTTATACAGTTAAAGTTACATGGGGCCGGATACGATTACATTTGCATAGGGTAAGGTTGCTATCAATGGGATGGTTTCTACGTTAAAAGAGACATTAGGTTAATTGGAAGCAGGAAAGATGAAAAATGAGCAATGCCTTTGCAGAGATCGAACCATAGACTTCTGGAATACGCGCCCAGCATGCAGACCACTACACCACGAAGGCACGATAAGAAGGCGGGAGAAATACCTTATATACTCCCCTTTTAAAGCGCGACTAGGGTTTTAGGGGACCCAATTGCCAAATCTTGTGTGTGGAGAATCATCATCCACCCTTTTTAGTTCGGACGCCACTGTAGAGACATTAGATTAATTGGAGGCGGGAAAGATGAAAAATGAGCAACGCCTTAGCAAGGGAATCGAACCACGGACATCTGGACTACACGCCCAGCATGCACACCACTACACCACGAAGGCACGCTAAGAAGGAGGGAGAAATATCTTATAGGCAACCTCCATTATTTTCTAGTTATTGACAGCAGTCGCTATTTTTTGATTTACTATATGAAGCTTGGAAAATCTCTGTCTTGACTGAGTGTTTATCCACGCTCAAACGAGTTTGCTTTACAAGAAAACAAAATTTTTGAACTTTTCGTCTAATTTTTAAATGTAAGGAAAATATATATATATCAGTGTTAATAGTGTTTTAGTTGTTACTGATAACATTTAAAACTGTGTTAAATCAGAGTCATTTGACTATGTTAACAATGGTTGTTTACTTTGTGATAACCGAAATCACGGACGTATAACATACCGACTAACAGTCTTTTCTTCTTTTTAAAAATAATCATAAGCTATTTATCTAAATCTAACATAAACCGGAGTATCCCCTATTCTTGTGAAAAATGAATATTTTATTGAAATTATAGTGCTGATTTTCATTATTTCTCGCGTAATCTAACCCCTTTCTAGTTTTAAAATTGTATGTGCACAATAAATAGATTAAACTAATGGTTAGAGTAGGTTCTGTTTGCATTCAATTGATTACGAACCCGTATGCGCGCAAAATTTTTTTTTTTGTAAGAAAATTAACAACTAGAGAGATGTATTTGAACATTGTCATTTTGTTTCAGCAGTGCAGTTTAAAACAAATGATGTTCCTGTTGTAGAAGTTCCTGACACAAGTCTAACTGCTTGTACTAGCGAACTGTCACATAGTATGCAGCCTCCAGGGAGAAAATCTGTTGCAACCACCAGTGGAGCAGAATCAGAACCGCTTCCACTTGGTGCATCAACATTGTTGCCAAAAGTTAAACATCGCATAGAATATGAATAACATTGTTGTTCCTATTCTTTGGATAAATCTCTCCGATTCCATCTAAATTGTTAGTTGAAAATGGCTCAAACAAAACGCAAAAAACAATACTGATAACAAGTAGCCCATAGAAGAAGATCCTGGAGGAGGCTGAAAAAGAAAAAAAAAAAAAAAAAAGAAAGAGGCACTGCTATGAAAAGACGACTCCAAACTTCTGTGACACGGTTAGGTTATTTAATTACGGCAAAGACTCGAGGGCTATCTGCCTAAGGGAAGGGATGCCTTCGTGGAAGACTTTCTAATGAAAACTGGTTCGTCTACACGTTAAACATTTTGAAAACCACGGAAACACCTATGCAGCCAGCCCGTTCGCAGGATTCGAACCTCGGACCGAACTACCAGTGTTCAGCGACTTTACCGCTCGGCCGCTGTTCGGCCTCTTTTGTGCCGGAAGAGAGAGTTAAAGGTTAAACTTTTATTGCCTTCACTGAACAGGCCTATCAATTCTAATGAGGATTCATGGTTCTATGCTATGTGTTGTGATAACTTCAAGGAAGACATGATTCAATATCTGTTGTGTAAAGTGTGGGTTCATGAAAAGTGTGCTGGTGTCAAAAAGGGGATTAAAATGTATTATTGCAAAAAAATGTATCTGAACTCGTCAAGAACAAATTATTGATCTAGTAATTTGTGTGAGGTTTATCACAATATATTAATAGTAGGCTTAATAAATATTTTATTAAGCCTACTACATACTGAAAGTTTTCAAGTTATGATTATTACTCTTTTATACTATCCTAACTATAAATTACCCTCAAATTCTCATTTCCATTAAATTGTTTCGAATAAACGAAGTCCAATGTTATTTCGTATATTCTCACATTAGTCCTATAATCCAACTTCTGATTTCTTGGGATAATGCAAAGCTATCAATATGTTTCAATGCATTTTCAATGGTTTGTGTTAGTTTTTGATCAGCATTTTATGTTTACGAATCATGCTCAAAATAGTTTTAAACATTTTATTAGCTTTCATTAAAATTATACTGTATTAAAAAACGAAAATAGCTATACGTGCACTCATAGAAACTCTCCGGCTCAATGAAGGCGACCGTTTTCCTTCATTGGGTCAGTGGCACCTATATTTTATTTTTCTAATATTTACTGAACATTTCAAAATTATAACATCTATTCCAAGATATGTGTAGTATGGAAAGTAATATTTAAATTAACATGTACTAAACTGTAAAATTGCCAAATTTGTCAATATTAAGGATCATTTTGTAAAAGCGGCCCATTGATAGCAACCTTACCCTATAGGGTTAAGACCAATTACAGTTATACAGGAATCGTACCAAAGGCGACATTTTTCGCTTTTTTTGCCAAATTTGGAGACAAAAAGTAATCCCCAAAATTAAAGCCAGCCTTACGCTATGTCTCCAATTTCGCAAGAAAGTCATTTGCTTCAATGACCTTCCCCTTTAATCCTCTTTTTCCGGCGAAGCTCCACATATTAGAGGCATTTAATGTTGCATTATACAAGAAATAGTAAAATTTTGCATATACTTACACTAAAATTATTTACATACAGATTCGAAACAATACAGATAAATTTTCTGTGCACATTTTTATAAACTGTGAGTAAACAAATTAATAGAGATTTATAACACAGTAACATTTATGCCTTCCTGCCTGACTACATTTATAAATGTTTAGCTCATTTAATAGTACCATCTTCTCTCGGGAATCAGACTTTCCAAGAGTAATTACTTAAGGTTTATGTAGTGATATTAATAACAGTAATTTCTCTTTAAAATAGAATTTTGTCACATTTGCAGTTTAGATCCTTAGTCATTTCTTGAATCCAACCAATTTACAAACTATGCCATCACTCTAGGAGAATATTTTTTTCCCAAAACGAAATGACTTTATAAGATTCTAGCTAGTTAATTGAATCAAAAGTTTCTTTTATTAATAAAAAAACTTTTTTTCCTACGTCATGTTAGAGATTTCAAAGCTTTATTCACTGAGCGGATCTTTTCAATTCTAATAATGCATTTGCTTCCACAGGTGAAAGATTTTAAATCATTTAAATCAGCGAGGGCAACATTTACTTCAGAAGTCAAAGTCATTTAACTGTACTCCCACAGCTGTATCTCTTGTACAGCTGTAACTTTAGAAATTAATTTTTTTTTTGAAGCAACGCATATTTACATCCAAAACGAAATTTCTCTCTCTGTAGCGTGTATTTTTCTACCCCTTTGCGCTCTCCGATTGTGCAATATATATATATATATATATATATAATATATTCTATACATATATATATATACATATATTCTATAGATCTATATATGATGATGTCGTGTCTATGACAAAGTGCAATTATATAGCCTCGAAGCTGTAAAAGACAGCTTTTGCAACCTCGGCAGCTCTATCAGTATACAGTAGGTCCACTGGGTCTTCAATGCCGATGTTAAGCAGTCTGGCCTGGATTGCTGGGCAGCTGAAGATGTGATGGCGAGACAGTGGGATATCATTTGGGCAAATGTTGGTGTAACTACGCTGTCCGTCTGGAGAAATCCTCATCCCTTTTAAGTGATTTGTCTAAGTCTGGTTATGATAGTCGATATGGCTCTGTCACACTTCAATTCCGGAATGGAGCTTCCTTTTTTTGACAGATTAGTCTTTGGCTGGCAACTGCATTGGCATCAACGAGGGCTGGCATTGGAATCAACGAGATCTATATATATATATATCTATACAATATACAATATATATATATATCAGATATTTCCCTTGAAAAGCCAGTTTGGACGTCGAGTTCAGCTAATTTACCATTTTCCACTTTCTATTCTTATCTGATTTTGTTTGTTTTATGTTTTTATTGTTACTTGGTTTGATTTTCATATGTATTAATTTTTCAAGTGGCACATCCATAGGTATTTTACTGTATTTTTTAGCCATTACTAGTTTCCAACGCTAAGTATTTTACTGTGTTTTTTTCTTTTCTTGTGTAGCATATTTCTCACCCTACAATGATATTTTTTTTTTAAATGTGTTGAACTTTTTGGAGCCACAGCTCCTGGTAACTTTTAGGCGAGCTTACTACAATTTCTAATTTAGTTATTTTGCAGCTCAAAATGTTATCTAGACCAAATTGGTCATACAGTATTGTAATAACTACATTGCTTGTTATATATATATATGTAATAATAATTTATTTCCTAAACAATATTGATTAATTGATTATATTATCCCCTAAGTTTAATTAAAGTAGAATTATTTTAAAAGAGTGAATCCATACTGGTACGTTATATTTTGAAAGATGTTTTGAAGTAACTTGAAATTAAAATGCTAATAATGTTTTAACGGGGACTGGAATTAAATCATCATGAAGAACAAAATTTCAATTGTAAAAGGAAAAATTAAATTAAAAACATGTAATTATTGTCATTGATCGGAAATTAGTTGACTTTTCAAGGGGAACAAACCAACTCCCGTTCAATGAACAATAATTAATAAATAAATACGTAAATACGAAGGCGTTTCGTCTTTACTCGAGTTATAAGGTAAAGCCAAACCGGCAATTCTAGTCAGGCCAAATATTTCCGCGAATAGAAGGGATTATGAACCAATGCTGATACTCAAAGAACTTATTCTTATGAAGCATTTTAGCCAATTCAATTTGGAGTAAAAAGCAATTTCTGTAGGAAAATCCGAAAAAAACACGAGTAACCGTCCCCGACGCCCTCGTGTTTATGCATTTGAGTTCTATATTATTTGTAAAATTAAACATTGGAAATTATCATTATGAAATAGAATTCAAATTAAAGTTGAAATAAACATAGAAGATTACAAAATAAGATAAATAATGCAAACTTTGTAAAAACAAATCAAAAATAATATAAAAATAATATAAAAATAAAAAATATAATAAGAACAGTGAATGTACATGAAGATATAAAGGCCAGAAAAGGTATTAACACTAAAAGCTCCAAGCTTTCTCCCTAACTAAAAGCTCCAAGCTTTCTCCCTAACTAAAAGCTCCAAGCTTTCTCCCTAACTAAAAGCGCCAACGGCAGTCAAATTGACTGCTCAACGAATTAATGTATATATTCAAATGTAAATGCTTTATAATGCTTTTAAGAATATTAGTTACAGTTGTTGAAGAACTTTAAAGAATAACAGATTATTTTAATAAAAAATAGAGGATATTTTATTATAAATTTCAGCCTACCCTTAATAAAACACATTTTACAGCTTTTCGCAATTTTTAGAAAACACAGCTTTTTCAATATTGGAAGTGCATTTTCCACACACATAATATGAAAATTTTTTACACACATCACTTGTTTTGTTGTTGTTACAAAGTCCAATCTGGCATTGATGTCTTTTCTTCGAGAGTCTATTGCTAGATTTGGAAATTTCCTGGGGCAATTTTGCGGTTTTTCTTCTGTTTAAATAAAGCTCTCTTAATTCCTCTGCTAATTGAAATAGCATTTATATATATATAATATATAAGCATTTTCCTGGAAATACTTTAACATAAAAATTATTTCTAAAAAGGAAAAAAATGTAAATGTAAAAAAAAAAAAAAAAAAAAAAAAAAAAACCATAAGCATTTTCTTGCATTACGCTGTCGAATATTCAAAAAACAAATAATGTACCTTCGCTTATAAAATAATAATTGAATTTCCTACGTTAAGTTTTATAATTTTTATGCTTTTAACATACGAAAAAATATTAAAGTTCTCTGATACTTTCTTTTTAAATGCAATTTCTAGGGCAAAAATACTAACGCAAACTACAAACAGTTGATTTCAATGGCTCAGAAGTCTTTCAGCAAATCATATTAATGTTTTTGCTGGAGTTGAAGCATTCAGTTTATTCGAATGTCATGTTCACCATTGTAAACAAAACCTATTTCAGTTAGAACTTCAAAGTACTACGGTAAAATATGGCATAAATAAGCAGAATATATATTCAATCAAAGCTCCACAAGGATGGCAAAATGTTAGCAGACTCAAGAAATAGATAATGGAATTTCATGCATCTACTCTACCACATATTCATATTAATACTCAAGAAGTTAGAACAGTGGTAAAATACACATTTGAAATTATTGACATGGTTGCGTCATTCTTCATTTATACATATTGCACAGACATTAGATTATTTCGAAGCAGGAAAGATGAAAAATGAGCTATGCCCTCGCCGGACTCGAGCCACGGACCGCTCGAATACGCGCCGAGTGTGCTGACCACTACACTACGAAGGCATTCTAAGAAGGCAGGAGAAATACCTTATAATATATATGTAAAAGATAAAATTTAGACTAGCAACGTAAATTATCTTCTCTTCCATATTCTAAAAATACTAATTTCTAGTTCCACTGCGTCATATCGAGAATAATCCATGTCATATGACTTAATGCTGATTATAAAAATTATACAATGAAATTGCATTGAAAAATAAAGTGTCAGTCTAAATTAAGATTTCACATAACGCACATAACAAAACGCACTGGCCCGCTATTCTTTAGCTTAGCTGGATTGCTGTCTGCTGCTTCCTTCCTGCTGCAAAGTTATCAAAAATATAAACCTCTTGAAATAGGCATAAATAACGTGTCAAGTTATTTGTTCCCGCAATATGTTTCATGAAAATAAAATGAAGATTTAATGTGACTCGGCCATAAGTCTCCTATTCATTATGGATCAACATTTTTCCGCCATCATAATTCTCGCTGTTCGTTACTGATTCAACCGCCTGCGTTCTACTACAAAATCTATTATATATATATATATGTATATAATATCATATGTATGTATCATGCACAGGTAACTATTTGCTTACGACGAAGGCCATCGAATTTGCCGTAAGTATGGAATTTACATTATTGAAGGTTGTTAATTTTGGTTATTAATTATTATTATTTAGGTTTAAAATATTAGCTTAATTTATGACACTTTTATAAATATGTAATATAATGCATAACCGTACGTAACTGAATGCATAACCTTACGTAACACTTATAAATAATCCCTTTATACATTAAAGCACTGCATACATACAAATTTTATGAAAGTAGCACATCCTTTAAAGCAGTAATTGATATGAATTAAAACATATGAAAGAGGTTTTTAATTAAAACCGCAGGCGAATATTCGTTACTCATTGGGATAATTGAATGCAATCGGAAGTAATTTCTTTAACCAGAAAATTCGTTAGTGTTGAAAGGTCCCCTCCCTTTATATATTCCAAGATTGTTTCTCTAATTTATTATTAATCATTATCTGATTGTTTCTCTAATTTGCTTTTCAAATTTAGCGATACAATCACTGTTTTGATTCAAATTTTCGAGTAGTTGAAGTCCTTTATTTAAATTTAGAAAAATCCTCAGCTAATCAATTGTCTCACGCTGCAAATGCTTTACGTCTCCACAGTACTCTACTGCTCACACTATAAGCAAGTGATGAAAAATAAACTACCATCGGTAAAGGTCTCAGACTGCATTCTGTAAGGTTACAAGCGTGGTACAGAAGGTCATTGAGGAAAAAACACAAAAGGAAAGTATTGTCATATAAAAGGACCGCAGAGATAAGAAAACAAGAAGAAAACATTGCATTTATAAAGAGTAACTTTATATAATACTATCGTAGAAAATAAAACAATTCGAAAACTTTGCAGTTTAAAAATATTCTAGTATAATATAATGTGTTAATGCAGCTACAAATCATCCCACGATGTTAACATTGCGGGAAGTTTCATAAATAGTTAAACGATTTTAATATTTATTCATCTTCTTTTAAACTTTTTATATTATATTTTTCATAAAAACTGCTAATAAAAGATAAAAAGAAATGTAATAAAGAAATGAATGAAAGATTAAAGAAAAGTGATAAATTAAATACAGACTCTTAACAACAGTTTATAAGCTTAAAATACTAATAACTGTTGTACGTGCTTTTAATGTCTATGCATTTTCAGATTTCGAATGCTAAAATTTGCTTCTTACATTTTCCATAAAACTTGATGAGTTTATTGTAAAGTATGAAATACAGAGGTAAAAATATTCCTCTTTTTTTCTTGCGCTCGCAAATCTTACAGCGAACATGCATTTAAAGCCTTTCAAGTCTAAAAAGATTATGTCTGGTTTTAAATCGTTTTTATTTTCTACCACGATGATTTATACCCCGTTGTTTTAGAACATTTATATTTTCTTGCTTTCTTCTCTCCTCGACGTGTTGTTCTACGGTGTTGTTTTCATATTGAATTGTTTTCTTTGGTGACATTTTCGTCCACGATGTTTACGATGGACACCTTTTGTAGGCGCGCAGACGTTCCAACTGTCATGATGCCTTTATGCGTGCAAAAACAATTCTTGTATGCCTGCTGGCGGTAAACCTAAATTAAAAGGTTTTCGGTATCAGTATTTGGCTATCATAAAAGTGAGTCATCGTAAGTCGGGCCAAAAATCGAGCACTACGTGTCTAATATTCTCAACATTTAACATTGTTGTACATTTGATTTGAGTAAATTGTGCTTTGACTTGTCACAGTTTTCCCTTCCTTGGTCTTGCTTCATTTTATAGAGGATGGAACAGTACTTAGACGGTTAGTTTCTCAGCTTCTTGTTTTTAAAGCGTGTATTAAGATGAGCGCTTTAAAATCAAACTAAGAACCTTTTCTTAAAACTAAAGATTCTATTTAAGTAAAACTACATTTAGAAGAAGCCTCGGTTAGGCACATTATTTCAGACATTGCTTATTTTAAAGATAATGAAATTAAGATCGGAAGCTTGGCTGCAGAACATTAGAGCATGTATATTAATTATCTTTTTGTTTTATAAAAATGACTACTCAATAAAGGCTTTAAGTTATAGAAAACAATAAAACAAATAAGTCTGAAAATAAATATGTTAAAATAAAATGCTAAAACGGAAAAGAAAATTATATTAAAATTAAAGAGTTATCACATGTTTCGTTAATAATGCCTGATGTTAGAGATCAAATTAAATTTCTTGTTTGCAGGACTACTAGTTTTCCTGTTTCCATTTAAAAATGCATAAACGGTAGATACTATTGAAATTTAATTTATAAATTTGATTTAAAAGTAAACCTCTAGAGTTCTAGACTGTTTCTCCCAGTAAATTTTAATCTTGAAACTTCTCTCCTTTTAAAACTCTCTATATATGGTTTACCAACTATAATCATCCCTCGCATTCAAAAACTGTCAGTGTTTGTAAAATAAAAACTAAAATTTAGAATGGAACTGAACTGCTTCAACATGAAAAAAACCGCTCTTTAAATCTAATGTAGTAATACCATAGCTGATTCTAATTTATCAATAACGTCGTCAGTTAAGGGCAGAGGAAAACGATCGCGAATTACTTTTTTATTCATACGCCTAAAGTCCAGACATAGTCTAAACGAACCGTATTTTTTTCTACTTATCAAGATAATACTTGCGTAATTAGAACAGCTTGGTTTAATGATTTGTTTCTCTAACCATTCCGAAATCTGTTTATCAATTTCACGCTGCTCTGCGGGGGGGTGGAAACGTCGCGCGCGCAATGAACTGGAAGTTGATCTGTCAGCACTATTCGCATCTTAAGAGCAGACTTTTTATTTTATTCGGCTTATAATTCCTCACTAACTGCAGTATTTCATCTCGATGTATTCCGTTCCGTCTTTGAAATGATTTAAATCAATTTCCTCGTCATTATAAATATCACGATTACACGTCAAATAGTTTTCTGGTTGTTGCAATTTTCTAATTTGACCCCTTTTTCATTTACAGTTAATTCTCCTTGCCTTATACTATCAGTACCAATGACCGCTTGTAAAAACATTTCGTTTTTTGCGATAAACACAAACATTTTATCGAAATGAAGAACCATCAATTTCGAATTCACCTTCAAATCTTCCTATAGGCTTAATTTTCCCATTACCAAACCCCGTTAACTGTAAATCTGCAGACTTAAGTTCAGGAGAACGTATCTTCTTATGTATATCTTCTCGAATTAGCGTTACTTGACTACCAGTAGCTATTAAAGCATCAATTTGCAAATTACCAAAATTAACAGTTTTTATGCATTTCTTTCTGACAAGTCTGAGTTATTGGTGTTACAGGTTAGGCATCTTGGATATTTTTAGAGATATATCCCTACGAACATGTAGGGAAATATTGCTAGGCATTATAATGTTTTCGTCCACTGAATTATTTATGGGAGGTGATTCAACAGAATTAATATTATCATTTTTATCAGAATCATAAACACTTTCTTCTTCAGATAAGTCATTGTCGTCATCACGTTCGGATTTTAGAAGCTTAAAATCCCAAAGACTATTCAATATTAAATCACAGTTTTTAATAAGAATTTGAATCATAATTAAGATGTGACAAATTACACACAGAAATAAAATCATTTGCAGTAAAAGTTTGAAGTAATTTTTGTTTTGTTTCTTCCATATTAAAATCAGATGGAAAACCACAAAAGTTACGCAATCTTGCTCTAATTTTTCAATCACCTAATGTTCCAAACACAGTTTGATGTAAGAGTTTAATTGACTTAGTCCGACCAGTCCTTAAAGAATTTGAAATTCTAGGAATAGAATTTAAGGCAGTCATTTTAATTCACAGTATCGTAGAACACTATTCTTAGAAGCAACAATGTGGAAATAATTGAAAAAATCCTGCTTCTTTTCTTTTGTAATATTCGTCATAATTCTTTCTAGGCTCATCGCGGCTGGAACCCCCATGTTTGTAGGAAATTTTGTTCTATCTAGAAATATGATGAATGTGAACGTATTGTCTAGGGGCTTAAAATAATGAATCCAATTTATGGGGATATTTAAGGGAAGCACAAATAGCTGCTACAAACTACAAGGTGATTGCATCTGTGGCAGAAAATAGATTAGGTTATTTACAGATGGAATAGAGAATAACGACCTCTATATATACACGTCTGTGAATGCCGTCTATTATTATTGTATATTCTTTATCTTATTTCTAACTAATTAATCAAGGTAAAACAAAACTGCTTACCTTGTTCCAATGGGTTCGGCCAGGGCCAATGGGCTGAAGTTCCTCTGTGCTGTGCATCTGCAAAATCTTGAGAGGGATAATCCATAAATGATAAACTTTCTTAACACAAACCCATATTTAATGAAGACGTTAACGGTTACATAATTTTTACATAATGAAAGGTTTAAATGTTCGCACGACGCAGCGTGCGACTTCTCAGTCCCGAGTTCTCGTGATCTCTAGCGAGAGTTAATAGTTCGAGATGACGTCACTCAGCCATCGGATCTCAGCAAGAGTTGAGTTGCAACATCCTCCCGCCCGGAAGGACAATTGCCGTAATTGTCCTTATTACATTCCAGCTCCACCGGATATAGTAATTGCACTGGTCTTTTAATCGTATGTCCATTGGGCAAGCGGACAGCACAGGCTCTGACCTTGCCATCTCTTCCAGGAAAGGTTTCCATTATGATGCCCATCTTCCCCATCAGCCTTGGAATTTTATCTTCATGTACTAATGCAATAGTTCCTTTCTTCAAACAGGTTCCTGTTTTCGCTAGTTTGGAATGATGAGCAGATTTTAAATTCATCAAATAATCCTGTCTCCATTTCCGCCAGATTCTTTCTACCAGTATCTGTTGATGTCTAAATCGACGTGTAAGACTCTCCTTTGTTGAAGTTAATTTAGAGCTTCCTTGTGGTAATGATAGTAATTGTCTTCCTATTAAGAAGTGACCAGGGGTCAAAGATTCTGGCTCTCCTAGATCCGAGTATGTAAATGTTAAAGGTCTGAAGTTCAATTTAGCTTCCACTTCTGTTATGACTGTCTCTAATTCCCTGAATGTCAAGGATGATTTTCCTAAGATTCTCTTCAGAAGAGCTTTAACAGACTGAACCATACGCTCCCAAAAGCCTCCCCACCATGCCGACCTCTCAACTATAAATTTCCATTTGATTCCTTGCTTAGAGAACTCGTCTTGAACTTTATTGCTTTTCATCACCTCGTTCAATAGTTCTAATTCTTTTTTCGCTCTTTTAAGGGTTTTGGCGTTATCGGTATACACTATTCGGCACAAACCTCTTCTCGCGATGAACCGTCTAAATGCAAGCAAAAATTTTTCTGTGGAAAGGTCAGTCGTAAGTTCTAAATGCACGGCTCTGGTTACAGCACAGGTAAACAGTAAAATGTATGTCTTAGATAATTCTTTTCCACTTTTCACGTACAGTGGACCCACGTAATCTATCCCGGAGTTTTCAAACGGAAAGGCTTCTCGGCATCTGTCTGGTGGGAGAGGTGCCATATCTTGCATGACAGGTTTAGTTCGAAATATTTTGCAGACATTGCAATTGTACAGAACACTTTTAATTTTTCGACGAGCCTTCAGCAACCAAAATTTGTCTCTTATCTGATTTAAAGTATCTGCTATTCCTCCGTGCCCTACCACCTGATGACTGTGAAGAATAATTAGATCAGTCAAATGATATTTGTCAGGCAACACGATTGGATGTGCTTGTTTGAAATCCAAATTTGAATTTTCTAATCGTCCACCAACACGAATTACACCACTTTCGTCTACAAATGGACTGATGGATTTCAGTTTTGATTTTGAACCTAATTCTTCGTTGTTCTTCAATGCCCGTATTTCATTTGTGAAATTTCGCTCCTGAACACGTTTGATCCAATAAGTTCTCTGCCATTTCCAATTCGGTAACCTGCAAACATCCTGATAATTTCGAAGTATTTTTAACATTGTTGATGAATCTTAAGCACCACGCAGTAATTCGGTAAATTCGATGTAATTGCTGTAATTTTCGGTTTTAAATAAATCTTCGGAAGGTTCGGTAACACACGAATTTACGAAAACTTCCTTTGATGTTTTTCTTAGTTCCTTATTGGAATCTTCAATGTTCTTTGTGTAACATAAATTCGGTTTTTGCCAGTGTTCCATTTCTTCCTTTAACCACGTGGGCCCCTCCCACCATATGCTATTCTGCTTCACATGTTTGACATTTTCACCTCTAGTTAGCAAATCAGCTGGATTGTGTTCACCAGGCGTATATCTCCAGTTCAAGACATCTGAATTCTTCTGTATTTCCTTCACTCTGTTCTGAACGAATGGCTTCCACCTTTTCACATCACTTCTAATCCAGTGTAACGTTATACTAGAATCAGTCCACATATATACGATTAAATCAATGTCCCTAAGTTTCTTTTGAATGTAATTTGACAAGCGCGAGCCTATCAAAGCACCCATCAATTCCAATCTGGGAAGTGATAATTTTTTCAAAGGTGCTACTCGTGATTTTGATGTAATGAAACTTGTATGAATGACTCCATTTTTCGAATAACGAAAATACAGAACAGCCCCATAGGCCTTCTGACTCGCATCTGTGAAACAGTGTAACTGTAAACCATCCTTTATATCCCTTTTCCCAGCACCTGCAAACTGATGTCTTGGTATTTCCAAACTAGAAATATGAGCTAATTCATCACACCAGCTTTGCCAATTCTTTCTGAGATTTTCTGGTATTTCAGTGTCCCATGCTATCTTTTGTTCCCATAAATCTTGTAATAAAATCCTAGCTCGAATGGTGTATGGATTTAAAAACCCCAGTGGATCAAAGAAACGTCCTACAAATCTCAAGATTTCCCTTTTAGTGGGTATGTTATCTATCCTTTTTTGGCATCTTTTACCAAACTCTTCAATTTCTATCAAAAATGTATCATTTGACCTATTCCATATGTATCCCAATACTTTAGAACAAGTCGAATCGTGTGAAAAATCTTCTTCATTCCATACCCTTTGTAAATTCGTTTCATTCGTTTTCCACTTCCGCATGTTAAATCCACCTTCTTTCAGTATGCGTTTAATATGTTCCGATTCCTCGAATGCTTCTGATTCTTCATCTGCTCCAGCGATTAAATCGTCAACATACATATTTTCAGTTAGCATGGAAAATACGTTCGGATACTGTAACTTGTATTTGTCAACATGTACATTAAGAGTTGCTCTGAGAAGAAACGGACTAGATGTTGCTCCAAAAATTACCCTTGTCATACGAAGAGCCTTTATTTTGGTTCCATTTAATTCACCATCGTTCCATAGAAACTTGACTGCGTTTCTGTCTTCATCAGCAAGAGAAATCTGCAAGAATGCTTGTTCGATGTCAGCTGTAAACGCAATTCGATTTTGACGGAACTTAAGGAGCAATTCCAGTATGTCTGGACACATCTTAGGACCTGAATGTAAACAGTCATTTAATGACAAACAATTCTCCGCATGTGACGAAGCGTCAAAAACCACACGGAGTTTTGTAGTTTCCTTGTTTTCTCTTATAACGGCTTGATGCGGCATAAAATACGTTTTTGGTCCAATTTCAATGTTAGTCTCTCGTCGGCGATTCCTTCTTTTAAGTACCTATCAATTACTTCGCGATATCTGTCATAGAACTGTTGATTATTCTGAATCTGATATTCGCGATATCTGTCATAGAACTGTTGATTATTCTGAAATCTACGACTTAAACTCTTAAATCTAATTTTAGCAATCTCCAGATTATCTCCTAGCTCATTTGAATTATGATTCCAAGGAAGGCGAACAATATAACGATTGTTTTCAAACTTCACAGATCTTTTGAAGTTATCGAAAACTAAATTATCTTCTAATTCAAGTTCCTTATCCGAATCATAATTTATCCCCATAGAATCGAGCTCGTAGAGATTCTTCAGCAAACTAGACAGTGATTCGTTCTGTGTATCTTTATTATTATAAACCACAACCTTCATCGTATTCACATACTTGGGAAAATTCCGTAAGCCCTTTCTTACTTAAAAGTACTTCCCTTAAAAGAAGGAAGAATTATCGAAAACTAAATTATCTTCTAATTCAAGTTCCTTATCCGAATCATAATTTATCCCATAGATCGAGCTCCCAGAGATTCTTCAGCAAACTAGACAGTGATTCGTTCTGTGTATCTTTATTATTATGAACCACAACCTTCATCGTATTCACATTAGTTGGGAAAATTCCGTAAGCCCTTTCTGTTCCACTAATGGTCCAACCCAATTTTGTTTCAACCGCTACTAAGGAATTAGACAGTCTGTGAACCTTACCCGTAACTATTTTCCAATAAAAATCCGCTCCTATCAGCAAAGAAATTTTCGGCGGTTTATTCCCTTGGTCCCCATTCATCAGAAAGTTGTATGCCCTGTTTTTTAATATGATTAACTATTTCATTTCTAGGGGAATGAATATGTGATCCATTAATGACAGGAATAATTAAAGCTTCTATTTTGATTTCATATCGATTCTTCGAATTACGCAAAATGAGCCTGGTTTTTTTAACATTCTGCGCTTCAGACGTCGTGCAACCGAAAGAGAATATTTTTATTTTTTCTTCTCCAATAACGGGGAGTTTTAATTTCTTACAGATGTCCTCTCTAATAAATGTTCGCTGCGATCCTAAATCAAACAACAAGCGAACGCTTTGCTGGCGCCAATTGCCTGTGTTTATAATTTCAGCTCGTGCTGTCAGAAGAAATGAGTTATTTGCTGTTGCGCAATCGGAAACAGAAGAGACTACTGCCCCTTGGACGGGACTCTTGTCTGACGCATTCGTTTCGTCAGAATGTATCAATGTATGATGTCGCCGATCGCAAATACCACAAGTTAGTTTCGATTTGCACATCCTAGCTAAATGGCGTCTTTTGAGGCATCTGAAACAAAAACCCCTTCGCCTTAACGCTTCCTTTTTTCTGGCACAGTTTTTTTGACATGATTCTGACGTATGATTTTCAGAACAGAATAAACAGCTATTAGATAGTGATGTGTTTAACGCTGCCGCTGAAGGAATTCTACCCTTATTATAATCCCGATTTCTTTCGCTGTCTCGAAAACGTTTTGCAAACTGCCGCTTATTTTTCAAATGGGATTTCTTTTCAGTGACTTCAGAATCTGTTGGCTTAATTAAAAATCCTGTACGTTCTCGACTTTCTATTTCTTTTCTTAGAAAATGGAGCAAATTCGTAATTTTTGTCTGATTATCATCTTCATATTTCCTATTAAATTCTAGTGCTAAATCATTCGGAATCACCTTTATTAATATCGGATATAATAAGGTACTGTACGAATCCGGTAAAATATTACACGATTCTAATCCTCTAATTTGTACTTCACAACGATCATATAATTTTCGAAGTGCTGTCACATCGCCAGACCTTTTAACCGGAGTCAGAGTTAATAAATTGTTCATATGGGTATCTATTATTAGTTCTTTGCGTCCGAAGCGATCTTTTAATATTTTTCACAGCCTTCTCGTAATTCTCCGCTGTTAATGTCAACCCTTGTATTGCAGTTTCTGCATCGGAAGTAAGAATTGACTTTAAATAGTTAAATTTATCTACTGCATGTAGACTTTCGTTTTCGTGTACAGCTGTCTCAAATCGTGCCCAAAACCCGGGCCAACTGCACACGTCCTTTCCCGAAAATGTTTCCAGTGCCAATTTGGGGAGTTTAATTTTGTTCTGCGATTCAGTGACATTTCCACATGAAGTAGAATTAGCGCTATGTGGATTAGTATCTAAATATCTTTTCGCGCGTAATTTCCAAACAATAATTTTACTTTTATACTCTTCTCTAGACATTATCTCATCTTCTAAATTTGCTACATCAATTAAAGTTTCAATACCATTATCCGCTAAGATTAGTTCTTCTTCTTTACTAAGTAACTGAGCAAACCGTTTCTTCAATTACATTTTTATCCCCCTCATTAGCAATTTCTGTTTCTATTTTATTTATTAGCCTCGTAACTACTGCT